TTGTAATATCTTCCAGAGTATTTCACGTGGTACTCGATCCTATGCTTTCTCTAAGTCGATGAACAATGTGTAGACAGGCTTGGCGAATTCCCATGACTTTTCTAATATTTGTTGCAGCGTGAATATTTGATCGGTTGTTCATCTTCCTGCGCGGAAACCACATTGTGTTTCTTGAATGTGCGGTTCAACTATATCTCGACATCTACGTTCGATTATTCTGACGAAAACTTTTCCTGGGAGACTTAACAGAGTGATTCCTCTATAATTTGAACACTCTTTCTGATCTCCTTTCTTGAAGATTGGAACCACAATACCGGTCTGTCATTCCAGTGGGGCTTTACCAGTTGTCCAAGCCATACGGCAGATTCGAGTAAGCCAATCTACACAACCAGATTTGAGAGATTTTAGCATCTCTGGTCTGATTTCGTCCACTCCTGCTGCTTTACCTGATTTAAGTGATTTAATGGCTGTTGTGACTTCAGTTGTTGATATGGTGTTGGATTCGTTGTCGGTTGGCTCATTTAATTTGATATGTTTTGCTGATGTCGGGTTGTATAATTCTGCAAAATATTCCTTCCATCGATTTAAAATATCTTCTTCTCGTGTCAAAAGGCGACCTGCCATGTCTTTTATTGAACGAGTTGGTTTCTGTTCATCTTTATGAAGTCGTCGAATGGTTTGCCAGAACAATTTGTTTGCCGAGTGATTATTATGTTCTAGTTGATGACCAAACTGTTCCCATGATTTTGATTTTGCCTCAGAGACAATTTTCTTCACCTTTTCTCGTATTTGTTTATAATTCTGTCAATTTTCAGTTGTTTGCCGTTGTATCCACTTGTGATAAGCTATTTTCTTTTCACGGATGACGTTGCGAATTTCTTCAGTCCACCATGCTGTTTTCTTCTGTCCAGGTTGAATGCCAACTCGCTTCATGCCACATGTAGTGGTTGCAGCGTCGACTAATGTCGTTTTAAACAATTATCATTCCAATTCGATGTCAGTCTCTCTTGGTGATAGTTGAGCATATCGCTGGTCGACTATACTTGCAAATTTTTGACTGGTTTCTTCATTAGCCAATGCTTCCCATCTTATTCTGAATGTTTTCTTTGGCTTGATTCTTCGTGCTGAGTCATTCGCTGATAATTCTAAAATAGAAACAACGAGATGGTGGTCCATTGAAAGTTCGGCACCACGTTTGACCCGTACATCCATCACTGCGCGACGTAAATTGTCGAATACAATGATGAAGTCAATAAGTGATCGTGGTGCTATTGAATTACCTGTCTTATACCATGTGTACTTATGTATGTCTTTGTGTTGGAAAAATGTATTCATTATCGACAAACTGCCGTTTGCACGAAAATCAAGTAGTTGTCTTCCTTGTTGGTTTAGATCTGTATCACCATTTTGTCCAATGACTCCGTTCCAAGTTTGTGAGTCATTTCCAACGTGTGCGTTGAAATCTTCTATTAATAATAGATAATCTGTTTTTGAGACACTTTCCATAGCTACCAGAACCATGTCAAGAAAAGTCTCATAATCTGCTTCAATGTTTGGTGCATATACTTGTATAATTGTTAACTTTGTTTTCTTCAGTAGGAGTCTGATGAGAATGACTCTTTCGTTGACTGGTTTCCAATCCAGAACCGTATCGGCTAGTCTGGGATGTAGAAGTATTGCTACTCCTGCTTGTGCATGTGTTGTGGCGTCGACACCTGAGTAAAATAATTGCCATCCATTGTTCAATGCTAGTGTTCCTTTGCCTTTTCGTTTCGTTGACGATATTCCAAGTATATCTAATTGGTATTTCTTCGCTTCTTCAACTAGTTCAATTTCCTTACCCGTGAGTGACGTTACATTCCATCTGCCAATGTTCAATCGGCACTGATGTTGATGGTTTCGAGGTGGGAGTCTACTGAACGTGTCGTTTAGGCGCGCCCTCCCCCCCCCCCCCCCCTCCCCCGTGTCTTCTAGGACAGTTGGCGAGGCCATCGCTAGATGTTGCTTGATGTTGAGCGGTTGGTTGTTTGTTTGGTTCCCGTAACTTTTTCGAGTTGATCCCGGTCGATCTACGGGTACCAGTGATCGATTGACCATCAGACGCTCGCATATGAGCTCTGTCCCCACGCCTGACTCCAGGGACATTCCCCGGTATCCCACATCCGGGCGAGGTACAAGTATCATTTGTTGTGTACATCATGAGAGGTTTGCAGAGGCTCGTTTGGGTTACCCAGGAAACACCGTGTGGAGGTGAGCTTGACTTGTTTCCATATTTCTTTAACATGAATAATGAAATGATTCTATCGGTCTATACTTTTTTGCATCATTATAATTTTTATCTGCAAGAAATCTCAGCAATGAGATTTCTTGCAGGTCAAAAAAAAAGTCTTGACTGATAACTCTAAGATTAGTTTACTGCAATGGATAAGACTTTGAGCTGTCGACCGGAAAAAATGTTATAATACAGAGTACTAATCGCTTAGAACATAGGTTTTAAAAAATATATCAAAAATGACTGAAAATATGCATTTACCATAATGATATGAGTGTTATAATAGATTAGACTCAACTGAGATAAGTATATAATCGAAAATTAATGCTTACAAAACATCTTGTAGATAGATGTATCCATAAGATTTAGAGAATGTTTTCTTTCACCAGTCGATTGAGTATGAAATTAGGTAAGTATATTGTGTAAAAAGTTTTTTTTTAATGAAAAATAAAAAGGCTTAGGTCATTATACTGAAGTTCACTGATTACCTTTATACATTTGTCTCTGTGTACTCTATTCTTTATCGTAGTCAATAGACAACAAAGCATAACTTCGAATAACATCGAAAGAAGAAAATAAATAGAGAATAAAAGAGGATCTATAACTATACGATAATATTTTTTTCTTTTCGTCTTTTATGCACGTGTATCAGAGGAAAAAAGTATATCCGTGGGTCAAGTACACGTACAGAGTAAACAAATATACCCATTTCTAACATGACATTTTTTCATTTTGATAAATTGCGTAGGAAAAGACTATAATTTTGTCAAATTTCGTATATGTAAAATAAAGCAATGATTGTTTATTATTTTTAGATGAAAAACTTGTTTCATAAAGACTTCAACTTCAACATTATCATGCTGCTATTTTTCATCTTTTACGTTCCGCTCTCTTTTTTTTTACCATATTGGCCGTGCTTGTAAATTTCTTGCTTGGCACAAAAGGATCAACATATGACTTAACCGTAACATCAATTAAATTATTAGTTTATGCAATTGTTGCAGTTAGCAGCACAGTCTTCCAAAGGGCACCATATCGACTGTGTGGTATGAACGTTCATTATTGCTTAACGCTCAGTATTTCTCTACTTGGTTTTCTAACTGCTATGCTTTCACACTATGGCGAAACAGACCATCCTATTACATGAATAATAGATATGCTCGCACTCTCATTCTGTATGATTTATATGTATACCATATGGAGTCACTATCATGATTCAAAACAACTAAAATATGACACAGCTAAAAGATCTGGTCTTCATCAAATATAAAACAATTTAAATTAGTTACGATCCATCTGTTACAATGAACATAAAAAAATATTTTCTTCTCTTCATTTAAGTTAATTTAAATAAAGACATCAAGTTTATCATTATTTCTTAGTTTACTAAATTTTATTTCTCCTACTCCACGTTGAATTAAAGAAAAACACAATAATAAAATAGTTTCTTAGTAAAATCAATTTGATCCTTATGTTTTTGTTCAATTTAACCTGAAGAAAGAGAAATAAAATTAAAAAAAAAGTTTTATTTTAATAGATATTTATCTATGAGCTGGATCTTATATGACGGAAACATTAGCTTATGAATTTTATTCAGAAGCTGGTGAATTAATTGATCAAGTTAAAAAATTGGGTGGCATGGTAAAAGCTATGGTTATGGTTGCTGATATACCAAAATTAAAAATTTAAGAATGTGTAGTAAGAAAACAAGCTACGATTGATGATGGAAAAGAAACGACGTATGGTCAGGATTTCGATGCTATAAGAATTCAAATAATTTTATTTTTTGTTGCTTAGATGTTGATAAATATAGTAATTAAAATACTAAAAAATAATAATCGACAAGTTTGACAACAACAAGTTGAAACAATTCAAAAAATAAAACAACATCGCGATCATTCAAATGTTTTTTTTTCTGTTGTCATGTTCTTTTAAATGAAGATTTTTTTGTAAATTGATCAATGTCTTGAGAAAAGACAAGACATTGCTCGTGATGAATCTGGTTTAGAAAATTAACTTAAAATAAAATCAAAAGAGATTTACTTTTCTCGATAAAGATCACTAGAAAAAATGGCAAATCAATATATGATATTTATTTTTGATCAAACACAACCTTTTTTGTTAACAGTTGAGTAAAAAGAAAATGGTTGCACAAATAGTTAAAACAGCTTAATTATCACTCCAGCTATAATTATTGTTCCTTTTTATCGGTCGATTCAATGAAAATTGAAGTTTTTCAAATAAAGATCTGTTTTATTTGCTTGATAGGTTTTGTTACTTATCGCTTGACTAATATTTTAATGTCGAAACAACGATAAAAAACATTCGAAGAAAACAAAGAAAAGTTGGTTGACAAGCATTACTTCAACTTGATGTCATAGTTCGTATTTAAACAGCTCAGGCTATATAATAGGCAGAAGTTATTTTTATAGGAAAATCTTCTCATCAGCTAAAGTAAGGAGAGTTATAATAGTATCCTAATCTAGGTGCGATGTTTGTATGCTCTACATACGTAGCAAGCACCTCAACTAATTCGTTACTTTTGAACTGATATTACGCCCATAAATAGGACTCGGCGGAACTTAGAAATTTTTAAAATCGTTCATGACATGCCCTAGACCGAAATTTAGTAAAACGGTTTGTAGCTGCTGACCAACAATTGATGGTCACAAACGGTTTTAAGATTTTCTTGTTGCGACTGGATCCTATTTGTAGACAAAACATAATCTCAAAAGCAACAAATCAGTTGGGATACTTCCCTCTTAAGTAGATTGTATACATAAACTAACATTGAGGTGAGCAAACTTGATATATCATCATGCTATCAAAGCAAATCCTTGAATAATAGCTGGCAATCAATATGCTTTTTGGTACTTGTTTTATTTTTACATAAAACAATATACAGAATGCCTCCCAAGGTATACCTGAGTAATGTCGGAACTAAAAATATCCAAAGGAAAAATGTCGAAAAGTTCGAAGACGGCAAGGGTAAGACTTAGTAGTGTTAATGTTATTGGAGAAAGGAAGAATGGACGAAACTATGTTTTTAATCATTTTACACGAACAGTAATTTAACAAAAAATATCTAACAGTCAATCATTTTTTATTTTTGTTTTATCCTTAGCAACAACAAACGATAAACCTTCTAAATAATATTGTACTGGCCATAATAGTTTATGTATCGTTTTATAAGAGTATAAATGAGTGTTAAAAATATGATACATCACAGTATTTATAAAACTAGATATTCTTGCGTAGAATATTACCATTTCTTTTATCAATTAGTCTGATAATTAGACTTTATTAGCTTAACTTCTAATTTTTATAACTGTTATTTTTTGTTCCAGAGGAA